CAGGTCTGTGTCTCTGCCTCTGAACCACATTTAGCCTGGAAGTTCATTCCTGCCCTGTCTAGTATCCTGACTTCTGGCATCCTCTGACCTCGGCTCTCTACTCGTTTATCCTGATTTCTGGCAGCCACTGACCTTTGGCTTATCCACGATGATCAGCCTGTTTTTGTCCATATCTGTACTGCGACTTGGAGCATCATCCTGCACAGCCCCCGTGCACAGACTCACAGGCCAGTTGAGTTCTTACCTGACCAACTTGGCCTGTGTTTAATTGCAAGGGTGAGCATATATCTGCATACCGGACTCCCACTAAGGTAAGCCGTGACATGGGTATTCTGTCCTGAGTTCGTTCCGTGCAACCTTGTCAATCGGTTTTCTAATGTGAGCGGCAATGTATTTTGCCACATGATCCAATGGGTACCGCTCTGAAGATCCTGGATGCTGCAGGCTGTATGGGTCGTAGAGTGGTTCACCCTGTGGACAAAGGAGGGTGGAGTCACCAGAAGGCTGAAGGGGGGAGGAGGGAGGGGAATATAGGAAACTGTGGTGAGGGAATGAGGGAGCCAGCAGAAAAACAACAGTAGGAAACAAATAGTACAAATATCAACAGATACACTGAATAAACTAGGCAAATACAGTGATTTATGATAAAAAGATTAAAAAAGTACTAAGATTAATACAGAGAACGTTGGAGTGATACTTAGCTGCGGAGGCAGCATCAAAGAAAGAGGATTGGCTGAAGATCACAAAAGACATTATAGTACAAGGAGCATTCCTATTGGAGACGATGTTATAGTGTAGTTAACCCTCTACGTTACTTGTTAACTTTTTCCTTTGTATATTTACAGTATCCTTTCTTTGCTGCTGAGGAATAAAGAAAGATATAAAGCATAATATGAGCCTCCGTGTCCTTTAATAAAATTGAGCAGTGGGACTGCAGGGGCATGATCTATACACTAAAACTACTTCATTAAACTAAAGTTATTTCGGTGACTATAGTGTCCCTTTAAGTACATAGGAATATGATTATATAGAAGTAAATTCACATACCTTAATATGCCAGACAAGGAGAATAAACCAGACCTGTTATAAACATCTGCCAGTAACTTACCAGGTAACTGGAGAGGTTTTAGTAATTCATTTCTAACAACAGGATAGTGGAACCTATAAAATGTATAGAAGCATAATTTGTTAAGTAGGAAGCATTAGTAAAGTGTATGGAGACCCACGACTAAAAGCACTTTGTCTGCCCCAGCTGGAGATGAGATCAGTTGCTCCCTGCTCTGCTCTGCCTCTGTATGCCATGGGCCAGTGAGGAAGATCTTTGATCTTCCCACCCGCCTATAATGGGACTGAGTTTCTTGTTTGGGCAGCGCTCACTGAGCGTCGCCTTGGGGAGATCCTTTGATCTCTCTGGTCTTGTCCCATGGCCATTGTGACCCACCGAGTATTTCCTGGTTTGCCCGATGACTGGTATGGGCCTGCTGGGTAAGAATACCTAATGTGTGGAGGGAAAGGAGATCTGTTGTAAAGAGAGAAGTTACACCTAAAGTTGAATATGTGCTGTAGTATGTGTGTATTAAAATAGGCTGTAGTGCGTGTGTACAGGGGTTACAGTATTTTTGGATAGGGGCTGTTTTGTGTGTGTGTGTGATATGTACAGGGGCTGTGTGTAAGGGTATGGGGCTTCAAGGTGAGAAACATATTAACTATTTTAACAAAACTACATAGTTATTAAAATATATAAATATATATATTTACCCACCCTTCCTTTAGTTACATTTGGCCAAGGGAGGGGGGACATCCTGGTAGCCCAAGTGAATTGAAAGCCTTTCTGGCTGGTAGGTGCACACCATATTGATTCTGAAGTGCTCTGGCATTACTGAGAGCATTGCCATTGTAACCCAAGACAACACTTTCAGTGACCAGAGCTAGTGGGAGAAAAGCACTTGGTCTGCCACAGCCGGAGGTGAGATCAGTTGCTCCCTACACTGCTCTGTCTCTGTATGCAATGGGTCCAGTGAGGGAGATATCTGATCTCTCCACCGGCCCATAAAGGGACGGAGATCCTTGTTTGGGCCATACTCACTGAGCGTTGGCTTGGAGAGATCATTTGATCTCCTTGGTTTTGTCCCATGGCCATTGTGACCCACCGGCATTTGCTGGTTTGCCCAATGACCAGTCCAGGTGTGTTGTGGAAGCATATGTAATGTCTATTGTAAATAGAGAAGTTACACCTATAGATGAATATGTGCTGTAGTGTGTGTATATTAAAATAGGCTGTAGTGCATGTGTACAGGGGTTACAGTTTAGTGTTTTTGGATAGGGGCCTGTTTGTGTGTGTGTGTGTGTGTGTGTGTAGGGAGCTTTACTGTGTATGTACAGGGGCTGTTGTGTGTTTAAACACAGGCAAAAAGATGAGGTATGAGCAGCGCCGCCATTAGGGCATGACCACCATAACGGTTGTCATGGGCCCGGCATTCCTGGGGGGCCCGGACTGCTCAGAGAGAGCATATGAGAAGTGAACACCATGCCACCGGATCACCAGGAAATGTGATCTCCCCCCTCCCTGGACACAGGTAAGAAGCAGAGAAGGGGGAATGAAATAAAATGTATTACTATTAATGAAAAAATATACTGTAGGATTCCCCCCCACATTATGCAGCCCCATACATTTACAGACACTATACTACAACATTTACACACACTACATTCTTACACAAACACACGCACTGCAGTCACTACACACACTACATCCTCACACAAACACACGCTACATGCTTACACAAAAACACACACTCTGCAGTCACTATACACACACTACATCCTTACACAAACACACCCTCTGCAGTCACTATACACACCACAACCTTACAAAAAACACACTCTGCAGTCACTATACACACACTACATCCTTACACAAACATTCTGCAGTCACTATACACACACACTACAGAAACACACACTCTGCATTCACTACATCCTTAAACAGGGCGTGTACACAGGGTGTGCCGGGTGTGCCTGGGCACACCTTAATCCCCGCGGCCCGCGCATGGATCGAGGCCAGCAGGGGAGATCCCAGGATCTCCCCTGTCGGTCCATGAGGAGCCGGCGCTATCCGCGCGCCAGCCCTGCTGTGTGCCTACATGGGCCGGTGGGGAGATCAAAGATATCCCTTACCGGCCAGCAGGGAGGCAGGAGAGGACTCGGGGAGCTCTAGCCTGCAGCTCCGCAGGGTTCCTCTCACGAGGTCGGAGTGTTGACGCGGCAACGCTCAGATCTCGCGAGAGTGAACTCTAGCCCTGCAGTTCACTCACCACTAGGACCACCATGGATGGCAACAAGGATCCCCCCTCCCAGACAAAAGGTAAGAAGGGAGGGGGGCTATTTCCTAATTCCCCACCCCACACACTCCAAATAAAATCACACACACAGCACCCTCACACACAAAACACACTAACAGCACCCTCTCTCTCACACACACAGCACACTAACATCACCCTCCCACACACAGCACCCTCACACACACTGCTTACTAACAGCACACTCTCACACACACAGCACACTAACGGCACACTCACACACACAGCACACTAACGGCACCCTCACACACACTGCTTACTAACAGCACACCCTCACACACACAGCACACAGCTTACTAACAGCACCCTCACACACACACACACACAGCACACTATCAGCACTATCACACACACAGCACACTATCAGCAGTCTCTCACACACGCAGCACACTAACAGCACCCTCACACACACAGCAGTGTATGTATGTATGTGTATATATATATATATATATATATATATATATATATGTGTGTGTGTGTGTATATATATATACACATACACACGGTGTGTGTGTTTGTGCTTTATGCAATAGGCTGCGCACGCCTATGACTAAATCCTTCCAGAAACACACACTCTGCATCTAATACACACAAATACTACATACATTACATAAACATACAATCTGCATCCACTATACACACTGTATCCATGACAGACATACCCTCATCCACTATACAAACAACCACAGTCACTACACAAAACACACAAACTTCATCCTTGTGGGTAGACTCGGATGCAGGCCCTGTGGGTAGACTTGGGGCAGGCCCCAGAACTTGAGCTGTTTCAGTGGCCCCAAAATATCTGCTGGCAGCCCTGTGTATGAGAGTATCTTCCCCTTACCTCGAGAAGGTTCCAGGCTACTCCTTGCACCATAACCACTACAGCAGGCTATAGTGATTATGGTGCATGAGCGTTCCTTTGAATAAACCGCTGATCCGTTTTCTTTTCTTTTTTTTTTATGATTTTGCCAACAAAGATAGAAGGAATCTTGTTGTGACTTTCAGAACAAAAAACTTTATGGACTTCAGGAAGAGCATGAAGTAGTAAGGAATGTCAACAGTGATTATTCTTTACTAAAATAGCTGATTTGCCTCATTGTTGGAGCTAAGTTTTCTAATCAGAAGGAGCTGCCCTTTCCTACTATTTTTAGATTCTACAGAATCTAAGCTTTGTTCCAAAAGGAAAAAAAAAAACACACTGAACAAATAAAAACCACTTTGTTTTGTTTTGAGCCTGGACAACTACAGCAACCAGCAAAGGGAGGGAGGCTAAATCAGCCTGCCAATCAACATCACAGGCCACGCCCACTCCAAAAGAACTGTCAATCAGGACCGCAAGAGCCTCCTGATAGGTCAAGGCTAGTCTTCCTTGGAGTCTCCGCCCCTTATTTCCAGCACCCCCAGTAGACAAACAACTCCGTTTACAAAATACGACGTCACAGCTCGGCTCCTCCCTCGCGCGCTCCCTATTGGTCGAGCGCCCCGGGGCCTGGGTGTCGTGACGTCACGCCCCTCTCTGCTAACAGCCTTCTACGAAAAAAAAAAAAAAAAAGGAATGAAAAAAAAAGCAGTTTCAAGATGGCGGTTGCGCAGATAACAATGGCTGGTGAGCGGAGAGGAGCTGGGGGATTGTGAGGGAGGGGGAGTGGGCGCTCGCGATTCCAGGTGGCCGCTGGGACAGGATTCCCCCCAAATGGCGGATTTCGTCGTGCAGCGGCACAGCGCCGTGATGGAGCGCCTCCGCCGGCGGATTGAGCTGTGCCGGCGGCACCACGGCTCCTGCGAGTCCCGCTACGACGCCGTGTCCGGAGAGCGGCTGGAGAGAGAGCGGCAGCACACCTTCCAGCTCCACCAGCGCTGCCTGCAGGCCAAGGCCAAGCGAGCCGGCAAGCACCGGCAGCCGCCACCGGCAGACACGGGGCCCGGCAGGGGGAGCCAGGCCGGCACCGGCAGCATGGACAGTGCGGACACCGGGGCCACAGCCGGCAACGGGGAGCAGTGCAGGAACAGCACCCTGATCGCGGTAAGACCACCGACCCTGTATAGCGCACTGCATGGCAGGTGTGGGGGGCGGGAGAGACCCCCAACGGGACCGGGGAGGGGAGGGGGCCACTCACACCGGGAGCAAGGGGGATAACAAACTTATCCAGAGTTAGAGGGGCAGGAGCCAAACTTTGGGCCACACATTGTAACATCAGAGATTAACTGGCTAACAATTGGCCCCACATTGTAAGAGCCAGGGGCCACAAGCACCGAGTCACTCATAGGAGAGGATTGAAACTCTCTCAGAGTTCGAGAATCAGGGGCAACACTTAGAACCCCTCCTCCAGAGTGACATGTGTACCATTAAAACAGAACTACCACATCTCACTTGCTTTTAGAAGCTGTGAGGTTTACATCTTAATAATGAAGCCATCGATAATAGCGTTGAGTTTGAGAGGCAGGGACCAAAACTCGTTGAGTAATAATCTCCAACTTGATCCTTAGAATAATAACCCAACAGGTGACTCAAACTTAACATAATTTTAGGAGCTACACATGCCCCAGCTCTTTTAACAACAGTCTGCCATTTAGTGCTGTGAGGGGATTGTCAAACCTCTTAAGACTTGTGTGGGTGTACCTTCCATGGTTCAAAATGGTAACTTGCTAGTTTAAAATTGTATATAAGGCTACTAGGTAGTATTAAAAACAAAGTTGAAGTTCCTACAGTAAAAGATTTAGGATAAAAGTAAGACATCCTGAAATCCATAAATCACGTTGTGATCAACATCCCTTGTAGTATGTACTTTGGTGCAGGAGAATATTGTACACTTTTAAAACAATGCTGTTTTGGAAAGTAAACTGCTGAATAATAAACTGTTACGGTGGTTGAGGATAAATCCGGTATTTGTGATGGGAATGGGATGTACCTGAAGCATTTCATTGATCAGAGCAGCACAGTAGCTTCTCATAGCCTTCTCTGTTGGATAAGGAGTTATGCTGAACTTTATCAATTGTAAGAGTAGTGGAAGGCTGAAAAAACTACAACTGAAGTGGTCCAGCACAAATTTCATGAAAGTGCTAAGCCTGCTTGGCATAAACCTATGTAATACGTTATTATGGAAAATGGGCACATTTCACACTAGACATTAGGTTCTCTGTTTTATGTTTTAATTCAAGTTGAAGTCTTAAATACTATCCTTACCTTTTTGTGTCATTTTACCTCACTTCCTCTAGCATGTAAGCTCATTGAGCAGGGCCCCCAACCCGTCTGGTTACAACTACCTGTCTGTTCGTCCACCCATTGTAAAGCGCTGCGGTATTTGATGGCAATTGATATAAATAACAATAATAATAATAATACATGTTATTCCAAAGAAAGTACTGTTTGTATTAAAGTTCTTGGTACACATGACCATACAGTGACCCTTGTCAAAAGAAGTGATTTTTCTATTTTTTTGGGGGGAAATGTTTAAATTGTTTTTAAACAAATTTAATTTTTTTTTTTTTTTAAATGTGGGCATGTATAGAATGGCGCATGTATAGTCACGGTGACGTGACATGTAACTTGTGTCCTGTTTCAGAGCTTCTACAAGAAGTCTGCTCTTTTGAGGCAATTATGTTAATTTGTTCTTAGTTTTAAAGGAGCGTTGCAGGCTGAAATTGAAAAAATAAAGCTTTAAAATATATTCAGATTTAGACATTTCTACATTTGCAGTTAATTCACAGACTCTAGATTTCTGGCTGTTGGCACTGCCCACACAAGTGTTTAGCCAATCAGGAAGTTTCTGTGACTTTTTAAGGTGCTTACATTTTGGGCAGAGCAAGTGTTTCTGAAATTTGTAGTTCAGCGATAGATTTCACAAGTTTGAAAAAAGTTGTTCAACTGAACTTACAACTACCACGGAACCTTTGCAATGCTTCCTGATATTAACACGTGTGATTGGTGAATCAATGCAGTTGAAACTGTGCCATAACCTATACAAGGTATAGTAACCAGCAAGAAGGAAATATATTAGCATAGTGAAGGTGGGACAGAGACGAGAGAGCTAATATTGAAAATGTTATTTTTGTAAATATTCAGTAACATTGAACATGGGTTAAATAACTCACTGTGCTCAGAATTTGGTGTAATATGCATGTTGAGGATATAGCCACATAACATGCTTGAGACCTATAAAAAATAAAATACTATATAAAATAAATAACTTATTTGGCTATAGTCCAATGGACAGTAATATGTGCTCATTGTTCCTCCAGGACGCGTTTCGCCAATAGGTTTCCTCAGCTGGAAAAATTCTGTCATAGTGGGTTTTTTTGGGGGTTTTTTTTTTTTTTTTTATACCCTATGTTAATATATTTTTATAAATTATAATTTTTACTTACGGCATTTATCCTTACCTGCTTTAATAAAGAAGAAATGTGGTCCTTAACCACATACACCTAATGAAGTGAGCCGACCTACTGGCTCTGGGTTTGACATAACCCCTGGAGAAATTTGGATCCAAAGGAGGGTGAGGGTCGCCTCAACGGACCCTAAGGCGCATATACCTGAGCTAGTGTTAAAGTGTGTTAGCAATTTACATACCTACTTTTATTATATATTTATATACAGGTTTTGTATATTTGTGTTTTCTTATTTAAGGTTTATCCGAAAGTATTGGTACTATATATGTATACACGACCCCTTAAGGTATATCAAGTTTTAAATTATACACCAACATATCCACTATTATTAATTAGAGCGCTACACCTGAAACTCCTTCTCTCCACATATTTTGTTGTAAATGGACACAGGGCAAATATCTGTTAAATGGCATTCTCTTTATTTATTTTTATGTATTAACCTTGTTACAATCCCCGGCTGTCAATCAGACAACTGGTCCTGTTAATTCCTGGTTTGGTTAGCTCAGTGGAGCTAAACTCAAGAGGCAGAAAATTGTCCAGAGCACCTGCTTTGCAAAGACCTCTCATTGAGCTGCATTGGAATGTCTGTGGTTGGACAGCCGTTAAAAGGGGAGGGCTTGTGAAGGCTTCAGGGAAGAGAGAACCTTTGCAAGATCTTTCTAGAAATACCCCCAATGAAGAAATGCACAATTAAATGCATGCCTATTTTCATTGAGGGTATATCTACTAAAGTGTTTTCTTTGGTCAGTGGAATGTCCCTTTAAAATGGTACACCCTATTACCCCACCTCCTTTCGTCCTGGAAGCATGACTAGGCCTCAATTTGTTTGTGTGCTAATGCTCCTCTGTGATAAATGTGCAGGAGTAGACATATTTTATTGAGTGGCTGTCAGCTGTAAAGTTGTGAGGTTTGTTTGCATTGTGCTGGCACAGCCAAAGCTTGGCAGGCAAGCAGAGGTCTGTCTGCACTGCATCGTTAGCAGTCTTTTCGAATAACTATGAATGTGTAACCCATCTCAGCAGTATCCTGTGAAGTTAACAATCGTGTCTGGGATGGCATCTGTAAGTTATGCAGTGATGTCTCATTTTCCTCTAGTTTGTAAATTTACTCAATGTTTTTGCTTTTTTGAAACATTTTTTTATGGCAGCTGATGTTTATGATTGTCACATTATAGGATTTATGTAAACCCTTGTCCTTGGTAGCTTAAACTTGACTGTAATATTTTGTCACACTTTGGCTTTTCTCATTGTGGATTTTATTTTTGTATAAATATTTTTTATATTTCTCTATTTTTGAGCATCAGAGCTCACATTTACATCTGCAGAGGAAGTGCTTTTCCTTTTTTTTAAATTTTTTTTTATTTTTTGTTTTTTTTAATGCTCCTTTTGTACTTACATGGAAACGTTCTTTTGGAATCTAATGGTTGAATGTTCGTTACTGTATTTTATGATGAGCAAATTAACCCATGCTAAGCTGACGAGGGAATATTGTTTTGTGGTTTTTTTTTTCTTTTTTTTTTTCTCTTCTCTCTTTATTAATTTGCTCAAGGGTGATATTGATGACTCAGTGGCTCTGTGGTAGTGCGTGGAAACTCCCATTTTAGTCACTGGAAGTTTCTTTGTAGTCTAGATGCTGTCACAATTTATTAGTTTGCATTTATGTATGTGTTTTGTCTCTTTGACATTTGGGGGGTGGGGGTTGGGCAACCAACAAGATGCAAGTTCTGGGTACAAAGCAGTTTTGATTTTGAGTAGGTATTTTGTGATCTGACTTTTGAAACCGCATTTCTGTTTTGTACAGTTATCACATTGAACAAATCGTGTCTTCGTGTGTGCTCTTCTCATCCTTCACTTAAGAGTTAAACACAGTAAAAATCTAAACAAGAGTAGCACTGCTGCTTGTCAGATGTACATGTCCAAGGGTTTTAAGTATCCCTGCTGTGGTTTGGATAGGTTGCTGTTCACCTGTGTGAGAGAACACTTTGTACTCAAAGAGTGAAACTATTGCCAGTGATTGCTTCTTTTAACTATGTCACAAACCAGAGAATGCTCTATTACAGACTGCTGCGTTGTGCAATTCTGAGATAATACAAGATCCAATGATATTGACTTTCAGAGATTGCATGTGCTTAATGTGGTCCACAGGATGGATCCATTGACCGCGTCTGATCCTCAGAGTGCAGCAATTTGAGTGGCACATAGCTACTCTGATTTTGTACATTACACTCTGTGGTTGGCAGAGGTTTTATAGTAATGTGTGTGTGTGTATATTATTTTTTTTCTGCAAACAAGTTATTCATAGGAAATTTATGTGTATGTATATGTGATATTCTGGCACTCTACCCCCCCCCAAAAAAAGCAAAATCAGTTGCCTTAATTGACCAAGGTGCTATCTCAGCACTGAATATAGAAACCAAAAGTAGAAATGAGAGCACTCACTGGTTTTTGTGAAAGAATCAAAAATTTGTATTAAATGTGTGGGAAAAATCAACGTTTCCACTAATCTATGGTCTTTATCAAGATATGAGAGGGAATAATTTCATGGGTAGACTGGAAAAATTTCTAAGACTGTACAGATAAAAATTTCAGTTTGTGTGATACCTCACACATAAATATTTTTATTGCAGAAATAATACCAAGTGGCTGGAAAGATTTAGAAGAATTGTCTACTAAGCTAACCGTGGTAGTGCCTATGGCATTTGCATTCCCAATCCCTTGTTCTATTCTGTTCATTTGATTTGTGGTTATTAACACTGAATTGCTGACCTGAAGCAGACTATTTCAGTAAAATGTTAAACAATGCATGTTTTCTGTTTGCGTTAAAGGAATATGCAAAGCACCAGAACTACAGCCCTCCCTCCTTCCCCCCTCCCCCCCATTGTATGCAGGCAAAAAGTTTGACAATTCAACTTCTTTTAATGAAGAGCCGATGCTCCTAAGTGGTTCTTGGCTCTGCAGTCCAGAACTTAGGTAGTTTCTTGATCTCTGAAGTAGTGACGATAAGGGACTAGCACACATAGGACCCCAAGTAAAAAGTCAAGCTGTTCTGAAGCAGTTTGATTTTGATTCCTTACAATTGATGGCCAGCACTAGAGCACTCCTGGCATAACTCCATAACATACAGTATGAGTGTTTCATGGTCTTCATGATCTGAATGCATTGGTTCAAATGTCTGGAAATATGCTGTGTGCTTGCTCCATGAAAGTGTGCACATGACTTGATTTTATTTAAAACAAAATTCTCTTTCCAGTTTAGTCCTGTAACATCTTTGTGGAATGATGACAAAGAAAACCGCCGCTTTGCTTTTGAGCTGAAAAGATTTCACAGGTGTGAGTTATTTAAAAAACAAACCACACAATTTACCTTGATTTAAGTAGGAGTATCATAGAGACTTTAAAGCTTCCCATATTTTGAGCCAGGAATAACTGGGTTCTATATGGTAAGTCACTTAAAAGATGCTCTTGTGGCGTGTCTGGCATTGCATATCTTCATTATACTGTAAAGAGCTTTTCATTCCTTTATGGTTTTATGCTGTTTTGATCTTTTTCTAACTTATGTCGTGGGGTTATTTCTGTGGCAAGACAGAATGAATGTGTGTGTGTGTGTGTGTGTGTGTGCGCGCGCGCTTATTTTTTGGGAATGTATTATTTCCACAAAAAACGAAAGCAAGCATGTGCTAGAAAGCATGTCAACGTTCGGGGGAATTCCCCCAAATATTAGACCAGTTCACTAGCCCTTGGAATTCAGCGAATCTATGCTTGGGGAAAATTCCCCAAACATAGATTAGCAAACTTGTGTCTAGCAACATGGGCTTATTTTTGGGGTAGGGCTTATATCACAAGCATCCCCCGAAAAGAAGCTAGGGCATATTTTTTGGGGGGAAATGGTAATAAATTTGGCAATTGCATTTTAATATTCTTTCTACACATTTTTCTAGCAAGTGCATAAATATGAAATGAATAACAATTATTCAAATTATATTTATATAATTTCCCAAGTGTAATGGAGGCTCTGTTCACATTGGGAAAAGTATTGTATGTAGTACTGGAGACCGTATCTCCAGAAGGATATTGATACCATAGAGAGAGTTCAGAGAAGTGCTACTAAACTGGTTCATGGATTGCAGGATAAAACGTACAAGGAAAGGTTAAAGGATCTTAACATGCATAGCTTGGTGGAAAGACGAGACAGGGGGGTATGATGGACACATTTAAATACATAAAGGGAATTGACACAGTAAAGGATGAGACTATATATTTAAAAGAAAAACTTCCACAACAAGAGGACATAGGCTTAAATTAGAGGGGCAAGGGTTTAAAAATATCAGGAAGTATTACTTTAGTGAGAGGGTAGTGGATGCATGGAATAGCCTTCCAGCTGAAGTGGTAGAGGTTAACACAGTAAAGGAGTTTAAGCATGCGTGGGATAGGCATAAGGCTATCCTAACTATAAGATCAGGCCAGGGACTAATGAAAGTATTTAGAAAATTGGTCAGACTAGATGGCCTGAATGGTTATCTGCGGTCACATTCTATGTTTCTATGTATAATGTTGTCTTGGGGGGGCAGATTGTTTTTGCCTACCAATTCATTTACTGATATGTAAGCCAGTGAAATGAGATCATGACAGCATGCACAGCTTTTTACAATTTGTCACTTAAAGGGATTCTATAGTTTAAGGAATACAATTTTTTTTTTTTTTAAAGCCCTCTGGTCATCCCCCCAGCTTAAATGGTTTAAAAAAAAAATAAAAAATGTACTAGTGTAACAGATTCCAGCGCCGATGTCTCATTGTGCTGGGTTGGCGCTCTTCGGTGTGCTGCGAGCACATTAGGCCATCCCCATTGGAAAGCATTGCTTCAATGCCTTCCTTAGGGAAATCTGACTCTCGGTGACTTCATGAGGATGTCCATCATTGTTAGGTGACCAAAAGTCAGACACCAGGAAGTACCTCTAGTGGTTGTCTGACAGCCACTAGAGGCTGTCTTAGTACAGCAATGTAATCATTGCAGTTTCTCAAATACTGCAATGATTTACATTGCAGCCTAAGTGGGAGTGGCACACTGCACCTAGACCACTTCAATGGGATGATAGATAGATCTATATCTAGATCTATCTCTAGATATACCTATCACACACAAAAATAAAAAAATCTTGCACTCCACCAAAACAACTATAATGCCCAGTGCTAGTACAGCCAAAAATGAATGCAAACGGATAGCACTCCAGGGACTTAAATTAAGAATTACTTTTATTACCTTAAATAAGTCAATGTTTCAGCTTGATTCCCTCAAAAAAAAAAAAAAAATACACCCACACACACCCATTTTCCACTGTCAAGACAACATAAATAGATATCCTAAAGAGTTATTTTTACCTGGGACTAAACCACTCTAGAGGAAGAAACATCATTCCCAAACTTCAGGAATTCATCACATAACAAATGATGAAAAACACAGAATCCCAAAATTCTGCCCTTAGTGCTGTGACTAACTTATCCTTTTGTAGTTTAGGCTGTACATTACCTGTATAGAACACTTAACAGCTTCTCCACCATTTGTCTAATTTAAAAAAAAAAAAAACCTACCACATGTCATCACTGGGATAAGGGATAGGCTTCTAAAGTTGCTTTGTGTCCTTATTTCAACCCCTCACAGCACTAGGCACCAGCCCAGTGTACATTCCAGAGCTCCTTGTAATCATTAATTCTCCACTGTAGAGCTTTTCCTGTTAAAGGTACAGTTGCTTGTAGTTCATCATCACTTGCTCTTGTAAGCCTAACTTTTGTCACGATTGTGTGTTTTGGTTACCCACTTTACAGCACTGCGTAATATCTTTGTATGTTACTTCTGCATTATTAATGCCAACATTTTATATAATACCAACTTATTCTGCAACACTTTAGAGTTTAAAAAAAGAGGGAGGGGGGGGGGTGGGGGTGGATTTAGCAACATGTGACAAATTTACTGATGTTGACAGGGAAAAGTTTCATGATGTTGCTTGAATGAGCTTTCAATTATGAATTTTGTTTAACACTCACACTTATGGATTTTATTATTTCTATTATTTCAATGGTTTTGTTGATTTGTAAGCTAATTAATTATCACATTTTCTGTACAGCAAGCATGAGGCCTAGTTACCAGTCACCATGATTATGAACATGATGCAGAAACCAAAAACAGAGCAATTGGAACCACAACAAAATAAAAATATTGTACTCAACCCAGATTGGTTATCAGGTTACATTATGCAATCAGTTGTTGGATTATCAACATGGTAGTCCCCATAGTAAAACATTTTAAAATAGGGGGTTTAAAAAAAAAAAAAAAAAAAAAAAATATTCCTGTATGACCTAATTAAGCAAATTTACATAAGACCAGTTCTGGAAAATAAATCCTAGTGTTTCTATGTCTTTAGAATATTCAAAACATTCCATCCTGACAGTGATAGTTTTTATTATACAGGGAGTGCAGAATTATTAGGCAAGTTGTATTTTTGAGGATTACTTTTATTATTGAACAACCATGTTCTCAATGAACCCAAAAAACTCATTAATATCAAAGCTGAATATTTTTGGAAGTAGTTTTTAGTTTGTTTTTAGTTATAGCTATGTTAGGGGGATATCTGTGTGTGCAGGTGACTATTACTGTGCATAATTATTAGGCAACTTAACAAAAAACAAATATATACCCATTTCAATTATTTATTATTACCAGTGAAACCAATATAACATCTCAACATTCACAAATATACATTTCTGACATTCAAAAACAAAACAAAAACAAATCAGTGACCAATATAGCCACCTTTCTTTGCAAGGACACTCAAAAGCCTGCCATCCATGGATTCTGTCAGTGTTTTGATCTGTTCACCATCAACATTGCGTGCAGCAGCAACCACAGCCTCCCAGACACTGTTCAGAGAGGTGTACTGTTTTCCCTCCTTGTAAATCTCACATTTGATGATGGACCACAGGTTCTCAATGGGGTTCAGATCAGGTGAACAAGGAGGCCATGTCATTAGATTTTCTTATTTTATACCCTTTCTTGCCAGCCACGCTGTGGAGTACTTGGACGCATGTGATGGAGCATTGTCCTGCATGAAAATCATGTTTTTCTTGAAGGATGCAGACTTCTTCCTGTACCACTGCTTGAAGAAGGTGTCTTCCAGGAACTGGCAGTAGGACTGGGAGTTGAGCTTGACTCCATCCTCAACCCGAAAAGGCCCCACAAGCTCATCTTTGATGATACCAGCCCAAACCAGTACTCCACCTCCACCTTGCTGGCGTCTGAGTCGGACTGGAGCTCTCTGCCCTTTACCAATCCAGCCACGGGCCCATCCATCTGGCCCATCAAGACTCACTCTCATTTCATCAGTCCATAAAACCTTAGAAAAATCAGTCTTGAGATATTTCTTAGCCCAGTCTTGACATTTTCAGCTTGTGTGTCTTGTTCAGTGGTGGTCGTCTTTCAGCCTTTCTTACCTTGGCCATGTCTCTGAGTATTGCACACCTTGTGCTTTTGGGCACTCCAGTGATGTTGCAGCTCTGAAATATGGCCAAACTGGTGGCAAGTGGCATCGTGGCAGCTGCACGCTTGACTTTTCTCAGTTCATGGGCAGTTATTTTGCGCCTTGGTTTTTCCACACGCTTCTTGCGACCCTGTTGACTATTTTGAATGAAACGCTTGATTGTTCGATGATCACGCTTCAGAAGCTTTGCAATTTTAAGAGTGCTGCATCCCTCTGCAAGATATCTCACTATTTTTGACTTTTCTGAGCCTGTCACGTCCTTCTTTTGACCCATTTTGCCAAAGGAAAGGAAGTTGCCTAATAATTATGCACACCTGATATAGGGTGTTGATGTCATTAGACCACACCCCTTCTCATTACAGAGATGCACATCACCTAATATGCTTAATTGGTAGTAGGCTTTCGAGCCTATACAGCTTGGAGTAAGACAACATGCATAAAGAGGATGATGTGGTCAAAATACTCATTTGCCTAATAATTCTGCACTCCCTGTAGTTAATCAGGGGATATCCATATGGATCTGTTGTAGTAAAATAAACTTTCAGACTGCAGCTAGGACAATTTGTCTGAAAAAGTGTTTTAGATTAAGAGAATAAATCCTATTGTACAGGGCATCCTTGGGGGACAGGATAAACCTGTGATTGTTAAAGGAAAATTAAGTTGCACACTTTCTGACAGAGTGGCTTGAGTGTTCAATAGGACTAAACATTATCCTCCTCCGCTCTTGATGCAATTGCTAGAAGCTAAAAAGTTGTTTATTAATGGGACATTCTAAGCACCATACCAACTTTATCACAATTATAGTGCAAGGCAGTTTAAACATTTAACAGACAATTAGCCCCAACGTCTTGAAGCTGGTGTCCAATCATTCTGCCTCTATACTTTTCTTCCAAATCTAACATTTCAGTCAGGAAGGCTTGGACTGGGTGCCACTGATAGGCTGAAAGTTAGTTGAGATTCTCAGTATATCAGTAGTTAACCATTGAAAAATTAGTGTGAAAAAAGGGTGTTTTCTTTTACACTAATATTTCTCATTGGGAAGCTACTGATACTGATCAGGTTTGGGATTATAGGCTTTTGGCCCAGAATATCCCTTTTTAATTGGAGAATTACATAATATACTGTCAGGGCAAGGACCTCTGAATATAGATTAATCGTAATAGCTGTATATAAAGTCGTAACGATACTAATATGTGATTGCATGTATTCGTCATAAACATGTCAAACTATTGGACCAACTTTAAAAAGATGTGCTATCAATATATAACCAATTTCAGTGTGTGTGTGTGGACTGTGTGTGTGGACTGTGTGTGTGGACTGTGTGTGTGGACTGTGTGTGTGGACTGTGTGGGTGAGGGGGGACTGTGTGGGTGAGGGGGGACTGTGTGACTGTGTGTGTGTGGACTGTGTGGGGGGAGGACTGTGTGTGTGGGGGGAGGACTGTGTGTGTGGGGGATGACTGTGTGTGTGTGGGCTGGGGGGTGTGTGTGTGCTGTGTGTGTGTGAGGGACACTGTAGTCAACAGAAAAATTACAGGTTAATGTAGCTTTTCTGGTGTCCATAGCCTGTCCCTACAGGCATTTTCATGTAAACAATGTATTTTCAGAGAAAAGACAGTGTTTACATTACTGCCTAGGGATACATCCAGTGGCAGTCACTCTGGCTAAACTTCCCCATAGAGATTCATTGATTCAGATGCTGATTGGCCAGTGCGTTTGGCTCTGCCTTGTCTCCCGGGCTGAGATCAGAATTGACAGTCTCATCCAATTGGCTGAGCTTGTCAATTCTGATGATCTTAGTGAAGGAGGCTGATCTGGGGTGGGGCCAGTGCTGGCAGACCTACACGTAAGGGGGTGCTGGCCACTTTTTATTTTTTATTTTTTTTACACCATAGGTCAGGAATACAAATCTGTATTCCTGACCTTTTAGTGTTCCTTTAATTTCCTTTTTAAAGCCTTGTTATACGCGAGTACAGGGCTTTCCAGTGCCATTTCTAAGACGCGCCATCAGCCCAGGATTTAGGCATTTGCCAGTTCCAATGGAGGTTCACATAAAACCAGTACAGTTGCTGTGGCCTGGGCACAGCAACAGGAGTGTTAGTACATTGATGTTAAGACAAAATGTAGATGCACAGTATTAGTCATGTTTGTTGGGATGCTGTTATTGAATCTGTATAATAGGAACTCTTTATGCACCATAAGCACTAGAGCTGCCTGTAGTGGTTATTGTACAAAGAGCACTCTGTTTTTAAGAATGGTACAGGGAGAGCAGCTGATACTCTGTCAATAAGCTGTCCACACACTGTTGGACTTAGCTCAGTGGCGCTAATGAACTTCTGTCTCGAACCTATAGGAAGCAGCAGCGGTTGAATGGCGAACTCCAGATACATTGTCAAATCGTTCTTAAACAGGTTGACTACTTATACTTGGTGAGTGCCAGGGCACTTCTAATACTTTAACCTACACAGCAGGCTATAGTGTTATGTTGCTTGGAGCGTTCCTTTTAATAGACTGCACTTGACAAGCTTACCACATAAGTTTAAAATATAAATGTCCAGGTGATACCCAAGAAAAAAGTTCAGGCTTTGCACAAATATATAGATGAGTAATAATCAGTGAACTTCTTGCAGGCTGTGCCCAGTCATGTGTATTCTGGCTATATTTAGCTTTATAGTATGGTTTTATAAGCTGTAATGTTTCTTTTAAGTTGAGCTCTGCCTCTCAACAAGCTCTACTGAACAGGACTGCCGTGATTTACTTCCTGTTAGCTTTTGAGCTGGAGTAATGAACTGTACAAGTGTTTGCCCTACCTGTACCCTCATATAATTCTTTATGCTTGAGGGAAGGAGTGCTTATCTAATAGCTAAGTTTTTATGTATTTAACAGCCTAACTGGTACCTTTTGGTTTTCTTTTGGGGAATGCAAAAATAAAGCTTTATGACATGCTTCTTCTTTATATATTACATCATATAAAATAGCCTAGCCTTGCATACTATTGATAGAACTTGCCTTTATGAATACATGGTCAATATTACATTAATATAATATTCCAGAAATCACAATATGGTAAACCCTCTTTTTGTGGCAGAAAATATTTCCTGATGGGGTAAAGACATTGTCATGCACAAAGCTTGTGATGTGACCGATTCAGCCAGCCCAATAGCAAAAGCAGCTAAGTCGCCATACTTCAGATTCCAGTTCACTTGTTTTTTAGAACAGACCTCCTCATGGGCATATCCCTTTTATTTATTACTCTCACTTGACTAATTTTGTAATTTCTACACTTTTTTTTTTTTTGCTGCAGGAAGACATAAATGGGCTAATATAGAGGTAATGTATCAGCCATAATGCATAGAAGCCATGTTTGGAATAATTTGAGTGATTTGCAAATGTTTTTAAACAGTTTCTTCATTGTTCCACCACACTATCAAAGCTATCCCAACTAGTCATTTCAGCTGAGCCATTTTTTTTATTTGTTTTGCCTCTCTGGCATTGTTAGAAATTTCTGGTTTGAGGAGTCAGGTTACTGCAGGCCCTCCACAAGACCTTTTTATATCAAGATCTTTGTCATATGCAAAGTACCCTTTTGTGCTACTGTTTCTAACCCCTTGCCAGAAGAACACATGGCTTTTGAGTAAAATGTTCAGCAGAAGCGCTTTGCCATTAATATGTACTTTTAATTGTACTAGCAAAGTGGTTCTATGTATTGTACTATTATTACAAATAAGTATAGCTGTCTTTGTAAATGTGGTTACTATATAAACTGTTGCTGGCACTCTTCTAACCTTGGCTGTGGGTGGGGCATTTTTTGCTGAATGTAATTGTATTGCAATATATTTATTGAAATGTAATTTATGTTGTATAGGATGCTGCAGCAGAGTTTTATAGTCGGGTTCATGTTTTTTTTTGTTTTTTTGTTTTTTTTTGTTACTGGGTGGGGTCTTTGTATGTTTTGACACACACAAAAAAACCCTGACTGTGAAATCGCTGCTTAGGATGGTGTGGGGGGTGGGCAGCCTCTTCCTGCTGCTCCTCTTCAGGAGTCTACATTGGCGCTGTACTCTTGTGCATGCACAACAGTACCTATGCCTATAAAATGTGTTCTGTCTTTACGGATTTCAATTCAGACCTGCAATGTATATTTTACATAAGTGTCTCTAAAAAGAAGAGGCATGGTTAACATATGAATATTTGACTGTTTCCAGCTTATATCCCCTCAGGCAGGCACTTTCCTAAAGAGCATTTTCCATTGTGAACAAAAAACTATATGGCCATTAAGTCCACGTATGCTAGCCCTCATTTCACGGAGACAAAATCTGATGCTCTCGGCTAGTGAATGAATTGTGAGATGAGCATTCAGCTTTTGCCACACTACGGAAACTAAATGTAGCTAAGCCACATCTGTGGGAACTTGGCGACTGATGTGTTGGGTTGAAAAATTATTTGCTCTATTACTGGGAAGCAGCACCAGGGTACCCTTAGCATCATAACCTCTGGACTGTCAGAGTAACCCTATAATGTTGCAAACCCATTTCACAATCAAATAGTAAAAACTTTTTTTTTTTCTTTTTTTTTGTATCTTATAAGTGGGGGGGGGGAGGGGGAAGGGGGAGTGGGTTCCCTCCATGAGTTCACATGACCAATATATTGTTATACTCTTTGCAGTTCAGGCAGATTAGCTGTTAATTTTAATTTTTATTAGTGAATCATTCTTTGCTTGCTTTTTTTGTTTCTTTTTAGCAAGGCACAACAAAATAAATATAAAGTTGGATTAAAAAAAAGTAGCAATATAATTATGCAAAAGCCACGTGCCTGCAATTATACTTATAGCTTGCTATGTTCCACCCACGCTCCTGCAGTTTGCCACCGACATAGAATTTGACATATATGACTCCAAATTATAACTTACTTCTTGATGGCACCATAAGCCATCAAGAAGTAAAGTCACTTCTTGTTTCTTTTGTGCAAGGCCATGTAATGATAAAGAGCTGTTTGCTTTGATTAGTGCATTCGCAAAATACCCCAAAGTGCCAAATGTTAAAGGGACACTCCTGACTCCTAAAGCACTCCAACTTAATGAAGTGTTTTCTCTTTCATTTTACAAAAGTACAGATTTCATTAGAAATGTACCCTTTTAAAAATGAATCTTGTTACATTCCCTGGCTGGCAACCAGACCACCAGTCCTGTTGCTTCATGGTTGTACCTGTCTTTTAACCCCTTAAGGACACATGGCATGTGTGACATGTCATGATTCCATTTTATTCCAGAAGTTTGGTCCTTAAGGGGTTAAAGACTTCTCATTGGGCTGTGTTTGGAAGTCTGTTATTGGACAGCCACAGAATATATGGGCTGGGAAAAAAGGGGAGAACTTGCAAAAACTGCAGACAAGAGATCTGCAGCTTTTGCAAGCTGTGTTTAGATATACTTCCAATAAAAATATGTATGCATGGTTTATTTTGGATATATCTAGTAAACTGTAATACATCTTGAATAGTTAAAGGCACACTCCACTTCCCAGTTAAAATAAAAGGACTGTAAGATATTTGCTTATAAGCCCAAGAATTTCTGCATTTTACATGGCATTTTATAATTTCATCTAAAAGACATTCTGCTTTTGGAAATCTATTATATTCTATCACTGATAGTTCTCCTTTATTGGAGGAGACCTGACTGATATTCACTCTTGTTATATAATGCCTCTTAAACTTCAATTCACATTAAATCCTCTAATCTTGTGTTTACTGCCCCCCCCCTCCCTCCCCCCATCTGTATATTAGGAGTGTAATGGTAAGGTTTGTTCTCTGTATCTGACTCCAGGAAAGACCATTTATTTTCACTGGCATTGGATCAATGGGTATAATACACTTTTCAAGTAGATTGCATGGAAAAGATCTATTTGAAAGCCTCTTTGCTTTCAGTGACTTAGTACCAATGATTGCAGCAGTTGTAAAAGATAGCTTAAAGGAACACTATAGTCACCTAAATTACTTTAGCTAAATAAAGCAGTTTTAGTGTATAGATCATTCCCCTGCAATTTCACTGCTCAATTCACTGTCATTTAGGAGTTAAATCATTTTGTTTCTGTTTATGCAGCCCTAGCCACACCTCCCCTGGCTATGATTGACAGAGCCTGCATGGAAAAAAAAACTGGTTTCACTTTCAAATAGATGTAATTTATCTTAAATAATTGTATCTCAATGTCTAAATTGAACTTTAATCACATACATGAGGCTCTTGCAGGGTCTAGCAAGCTATTAACATAGCAGGGAATAAGAAAATCTTAATTAAACAGAACTTGCAATAAAGAAAGCCTAAATAGGGCTGTTTACAGGAAGTGTTTATGGAAGGCTGTGCAAGTCACATGTAGGGAGGTGTGACTAGGGTTCATAAACAAAGGGATTTAACTCCTAAATGGCAGAGGATTAAGCAGTGAGGCTGCAGGGGCATGTTCTATACACCACAACTGCTTCATTAAGATAAAGTTGTTCAGGTGACTAGTGTCCCTTTAATCATTTCCTCTTGCCCACATTCATTCAATCACGCCTGAAGTTTTTCTTTACTTTTTGCCACAATCACCTGACTGCGTTGGATTGGGTATTTTTTATTCATTTTTTTTTTAAAACATTTTTTTTTTTAGTGAGTTTCAAATCATCTTCACCTTCCAGTGAGCAGTGTGACCAGTCCGATATGAGCCGCAGGCGCCTTAAAGAAGGCCCCTCGTGCAGAGCAGGGGGTTGGAGTGATGGCAGGTTCTTTTTTTTATTTTTTTTTATTTTTTTTTCTGCATTCTCAGACTAGTCACAGACTGCCCTGCATTCCCATTTGTGGATGTCATCAGGAGGCGCACTGCATTCCTCATCTCAAGCTAACACTTCCTGTCTGTGATTGTATTTGTGACATGTCTGTACTGAGTATATCACATCTGTTGCTGCTTCTTGCAAAACATTTTCAAAACTGTGTTTGTGTGCACTGTCCAGAGGCTTTCTATAAAGTAACTAGGCTTGTGTATGTGTCTACATCAATTACCAGTGTATACATACACAAATAAAACCTTGAGCCATGGGAGGTGTGATTTGTTATATTTTATAGTGTATCATTTCTGAGAGCCAAATAAGTGAGCTCATTGCATACTGAAATCTCCTCCTACAGCTTTGGTGATAACTGTGTATAGAAAGGGAAAAGAGGAAGACTGTAGTGGCTGAGAACCTCTCTTTAGTGAGGCTATATTGCTAACTTTATTCTTTAAAATTCCATAAACAAATTAATCCATTGGTTCTGATGTGCATATCACCTCTAGAACATTAAAGTCTGCACGGTAATCTGTTTTATAGTTGCTAATATAAACACTTCCTTTACAGAGAAAACTAGTGTTTGCCGCTAGAGGTGCTTCTGGGCAGTAATGCAGTCACTCCGCCACTAGAGGTGCTTCTAGGCAGTAATGCAGTCACTCCGCCACTAGAGGTGCTTCTAGGCAGTAATGCAGTCACTCCGCCACTAGAGGTGCTTCCTAGTTAGGTTATGGTCAGCCCCCTGTTGGGCCTTCTAAGTAGTGAGAAAATGAATAATTCTCAAGTTCTTTACTCTAAAGCTTGTTACCATTAGTCAATGGCAGTAGGGTGATTGGGAAATTTGAGCTTCCTATTAACTAATTTTGTTATAGGAGCATGTAAGTGCCGTACTTTTTGCAGTAAACCTTGTTTTTTGTTTGCTTTTTTTTTTTTTTATAGATAAGGCAGTGTTTACATTATAGCCTTGGGACACCTCTGCTGGCCACTCCTTACATGACTACTAGAGGAGCTTCCTGGTGTAGTGATGCACAGCGTGCCATTCAGTGTTCCACCCTCTGCATGGAGACACTGAACTTTCTTATAGAGATGCATTGATTCAAAACAGTGTGAATAGATGGTGATTGTCCAGAGCTGTATTTGGCTTGTGCTGGCTCTGCCCCTGATTTTCCTCCTTGGCACTTTCTGCCAAGCCAGTGCATTCCTATGGGAAAGTATTGTGATTGGTTCAGAGAATCAGATGATGTCAGCCAGGGGGGCTAGATGGTGTTTTTAACACTATAGGGTCAGGATTACTTTTAATCTTAGGAGAGCTTCCAGTTTGGAACATATATTAAGATATCAACAATTTTTTTCAGTATTTGTTAAATAGAAGGCCTTAGTGTTAAGTACCATAGAACGTTCGGTACTGACATTTTATCTGAATGACTGTTTGTATCTTGCATCCTACTAGTGCCCCTTTCCTGTGCATGCTGCAGTTAAAATAAGAAAAAGGAAGTGAGTAGAGATGAACAGTAGTGGCAGCAGTCGACTAGATGTGTCATGCTGTACAAGTTTGTAGTACATTTCCTTGTGAACAAAGGAGTTAAAAGCTGAACATGGACCCCTTGTAGATAGCCTTTTTAAATTAATAATACAGTTCCTTTTTGCTATTAGGTTTATTTTACATATTCTCTTTAGTGCAAGAAGGGTGAGAAATTGATTTTCTGCACACATTGCTCTTTTTAGCAGTGATTTGTGCACTTTTTAATAGGATACTTCAGGTCGACTTCTTCTATACATAAATTATTGAAGACCGTGCTAAGGTGGAGTGTGCACAGGATGTTTATGTAAAAAACAAAACAAAAACTTCCTCTTTCCAAGGCAATATCAGAACACCACAATTTGGTCATATACTTGTGCATCTACTAAAATTCGCCATGAGTACGCTCAGTCATTCCTTCCATAGTGTTGTATGGTCTCCTTAAAGCGAAACTCCAGTGCCAGGAAAACAATCCGTTTTCCTGGCACTGCAGGTCCCCTCTCCCTCCCACCCCCCAATCCCCAGTTGCTGAAGGGGTGAAAACCCCTTCAGTAACTTACCTGAGGCAGCGACTATTTCCCACGTCGCTTCTTTCTCCCCCCGAGCCGCTCCTTCTAGTGATTGCGTCGGCCAGTGGGCGAGACTGATCCCACCCACCGGCCGGGGAGACCTAATGCGCAATGACGCGCACGCGCACTAGCGCTCCCCATAGGAATATATATATGTGTGTATATCTATCAGAACCATAGTAGTTAAATTTGCTAGCTGCTGGGGTGTGTAGAAAAATGTGACATTACAGTTTTAATTGTGTGAACTTAGAAACTTTACAAACGAGAATTTCACAAACCATTGTGAATTAATTGAATCCATTTCTAGTAAAATTCATAAATATTGTGATAAAATGTGAACATGATATTGGTGCAGGTAATAATGATGTGGACCGATGGGGGTTATTCACCAAAGTATGAATGGTCAGGAATTCAAAATACATTTCTAAATCTTGCTGGAATAAAGGCAAACTGAAAAAATGTTCTTGCCCTCAGTTTAAATCTATTAAATCTGAAATTAACTGTGAATTCACAAGGGTTCAGTGTCTTTGCAGTTTATGTGGATCGTGTACATATTCCGTAAAGATTTTTTGATAGATCACATTATGGACTGAGTGTGGTAATAGCAACGTAATGCGTTAGATGAGGATAATCTGTAAAGCAGTTTTTCAAGAGTACATTTTCATCCTGTACTAAACAGAATAGACTGCTGTATTCCTTAACAGGAAGAAGGCTGGTCAAAAAGAAGAAAGGATTGTTTTTGAGGTAGGCTGGGGGCCCTTCACCAACTCCATGGATAGCATTTGTAATTATTAGGCCCTTCTCAATTATGCCAGTACAAAAGAAAGCTTCTTTGATCAGTTTCCCATTGTATTATGCCTTAACCCAGGGATTCAAGACAATCTATAACAATGGTATCACTCACCAAGGCTAATCGTGTCTTCTTATAGTACACTAAAAAGATAAAAGAAAACAAGCCTTCAAATATCTTCTTTAGTTGCATTCGTCACTGTGGCAAAAATCTATAGTACTTTTCGATGTTGTTGATCCTATATATCCATAAGTATTCAATATTGTTGATGCTCCCCCAATCTTTGCTGGCACTTGAGATGGTAGCATGTCTTTTACTCGTTCCCATGTGTCAGACCTCACTGCACGGTCACATGTCCATTATTTACACTCTGTTTTGTGTGTTTGGATATATAAGTAGTGTTACTTGTTCACTTGTACCCTGTCAGATCTTCAGTTTGTTCTCTGCTGTTTCTTCGAACATAAGGAATTGTTCTGAGTCATTGCTCATCTAAGCAGTCTAATCCCCAAACACAAGAGAAGCTGCTTTTGTGTTGAATTTTGAAAAAGGTCAGTTCTATAAGCAGAACGAGAGCTACTCATTTCAACCCCTTCCTTCCCAGAGAGTGTTCTGTGCAAGCAAGCCCACAGGTTTTGTTAACTTGTTATACAACATTTTTCATGTTATGCATATTACTTTCTACATCAGTAAGTAGCTGGTTACCCAAAAGCAGACCACTAGACCCTTTTTAACAGTATTCCATTGAAACTTACTATTTAGTGCTGATGCATTTCAAAGCACATCATTTTGAAAATGTAAATGTGTTAAAGCAAAAACCAAACGTACAATAGGCAAAGGTGAGCAGTGAGACACCTTTTTAAATTGGAATTTTGTCAAGCTATTTCACTGTGACATGGATATTTATACTTCTCCAAACATAATCATTGGCCAGTATTCCCCCTCCCCCCTTTTGTAGAAGACATTACTAGTTTAAATCAAAGGGTATTTATTACATTTTGATACACCTGCTCATTACATTTGATGTTATAGTGGGAAATTCCACAAAACCGTTGCATTCTGTTAAATGTCCAGAATAAAGTTGGTACTTTTGTTAGATACTTTAAAACACCAGCGCAACTTGTTTTTGTGAAAAGAATGGTAGGCTGTATTGTGACTTGATCGGAAATAATCTGTAAAGCAGGTGGTATCTTGCAGAGTATGCATCCACTCAGAATTCTGTATAAGTACATGAATGCATAAGCAGGAGCATAAGCTTTTTGCTATGATTGTGAAGAGTAGGCTTAGGGTCAACTTGCCATGATAGATTCACTTTGTCACTTTGTGAGAAATTATAGATTTACCGCTTTCGTAGCTATTGTATGTTAAATTATACATTTATTTGCTTTAGGAGCAGTTATAGTATTACCATGGGTCCATCACTCCATAATGCCATGCTGCACCAATCTGTATCCCATCATAGAGATTAGAGATGCATTTAATCTATGTGGAATGCTTGAGTCCTCCGTGCAGCGCGTTGACACCGAATGCCAGTGCTGCATACTGTGCAGCACTGACACAGTCAGACGGCCACTAGAGGTGCTTCCTGTCACTAGAGGAGTTACTAGACACCAATGTAAACACTGCCTTTTCTCTGAAACGTAGGGTTTACATTGAAAAGCCTGCAAGGACAGACTATAGACACCAGAGCGTGGAGACACTGAATATCGGTGCTGCACGCTATGCAGCACTGGATTAGGAAGCATCTATAGTGGCCTTGTGAGTGACTGCCACTAGAGATGTTACTAGGCAGCCCTGTAAACACTACTTTTCTCTTTAAAGCGGCACTGTCATGCCGAACTTACCTTTCCTCAATCTCTTCCTCTTCTCCCCCTCTCTCAGGATCTGTTATTCTTTTCTTCCTGTCTTCTTTAGTTTTCTTTAAAATCATAAGACAAAGAAGGGACTCTTTGCCTTATGGAGGATTACTCCGCTTGACCAGCTCTGACCAGCGGAGGAGCAAAGTGTGCTTAATTTCCGCTGGTCAGAGCAATTTTCCCATGATCCTTATCTTTCCTCTGTGTTCCCACAATGCTTCCTGTCACTTTACACTAAACTGCCGAATTGCGTTCTAACTGAATGACAACAGTATGTTCGTTTCTTTTATAACGCAATTCGGCACTTTATTCGGATCGGAATTTCATTCTAATGAATGAAACTCCGATCCTATTCATGCTGTGGCTGCATCTTGCAGCCGCTTAGTAGATAGCTCCCTGATACCGTGGGAATTAGGGAGTTATCTACTAAAAGGCTGAAAGACCTAAATTGGTCTTTCAGCCACATTTACTAATGCTGAGTAAAGATAACTTAGTATTAGTAAATTAAATGCCCCTACTGTCCTCCCCCCCTGGCCCCCACCCCTGCGCGGTGGGTGGGGGCCCCAGTAAAACAATAAGGGGGGGGACCTACTGTCCTCCCCCCCCCCCCCTGGCGGTGGTCTGGGGCCCTAATAAAACTAATGAAGTACTGTCCTCCCCGGCCCCCCACCCCCTGCTTGTGATTGGGTGGGTAGAGCCTAATAAAACAATAAGGGGACCTACTGTCCTCCCCTGTGACCCCCCAACCTGCCCCTGGGGTGGGTGGGGCCTCATCGTGGTAAGGGGGGACCTACTGTCCTCCTCCTCCCGGTTCCCACCCCTGGCCCGGTGGGTGGGGGCTAGAGAAATAAAACAATAAGGGGGGGACCTACCACAACCTCGGCCCCCCACCCCTGGCGGTGGGTGGGGGCCTAATAAAACAATAAGGGGGACCTACAAGAACTTTCCCAAGCTGTGTAAAATGACACAGAGCACTCTGAGTTGAAAGCAAGCCACCAATCAAGGTGTTTACAAACCTAATTACAGAGAGGCGGGGCAAGGCTTTATAAGCCTTGACCCGCCCTGCGGAGCTCAGTATGCGGCGTGCCCTCGAAGGCGAACATGGATTATTTTTTTTTGCGCTCGTTTTTTTTTTTTTAAAGTGCGACGGGTGTAATGGATTTTATTTGGCCTTTTTGGGGGCTGAAGAAAGAAGATTTTAGAAAAAAGAAGACGTCAAATGGTAAGTTTAATTTTTTTTTTTTACAGGTTGGTTATTTTATTCCCCCCCTCACTATTTGTAGGGTGAGGGGGGTAGGTAGGGGATAGGTTTTTTTGGGTGGGGGGGGTGGTGACTAGGGGCTTGGGACCCCTAGTCACCTTGATTGGAGGGGTGTTTCTTTAGGGCCCCCACCCACACGGCTCAGGAGGTGGGGAGCCAGGGGAGGACAGTAGGTCCCCCGCCCCGTGGCTGGGGCTGCCCGCTCAGGGGGGAGGAAAGTAAGATCCCCTTGTGTTTACTGGGGCCCCACCCACACTTCGAGGGAGGACAGTAGGTCCCCTTATTGTTTACTGGGGCCCCACCCACAGCTCAGGGGGAGGACAGTAGGTCCCCCCCCTCCTTATTGTTTTACTAGGGCCCCCACCAACCACGCAGGGGTGGGGGCCGGGGGGGAGGACAGCAGGTCCCCCCCCCCCTTATTGTTTTATTAGGGCCCCCACCCACCGCTCAGGGGTGGGGGCCGGGGGGGGGGAGGACAGTAGGTCCCCCCCCCTTATTGTTTTATTGGGGCCCCACCCACCGCTCAGGGGTGGGGGCCGGGGGGAGGACAGTAGGTCCCCTTGTGTTTACTGGGGCCCCACCCCCGCTCGGGGGGACAGTGGGTCCCCCTTGTTTTATTAGGGCCCCCACCCACCGCTCAGGGGTGTGGGCCGGGGGGGGGGCGGGAGGACAGTAGGCTACAGGCTGCTCACTGTTTAGTAGACATGCCCCTACTCACGGTATAGCGAGTAGGGGCATTTGGGAGATTTTAATCTCCCTTGTGCTATTATGGGGGTCATATTGACCCCCATAGAGTGAGAGGGGGACCTGGGGGGGCTTATGAAGTGGTGGGGAGCACTGCTCCCTGCCGCTTCTATAGTTACATATTACAAGGAGGGAGCTGCATGCCGGTAGCTCCCTCCTTGTAATAACCTGCACGAACAAACAAACACTGATACATTGTGTTTGTTTGTTCGGCTGATATTTCTATTCACTCATTCGTCTGTCTGATGAATGAATGAATAGATGAAATTCCCGTTCGCATGTCCAGGTGTTTCACTGGGCATGTGCGGGAATCTCACAGTCTGTCTAGTGTGGGCTGATGACGTGTCCCACAGGGACTTCACCTACCCACACAAAGATGGCGGCGCCCTGAATCAAGATCGGGGCAGAAAATAAGGATTAAAAAATAGGTAATGTGGGGGGCTTAGGGGCATTTGGGGGTGACTAGTGGGTCAATTGGATGTAGTGGAGGCGGGAGGGGGGTTAAAAAAAAAACGGTATTCGGCATGACAGTGCCGCTTTAATGGAGGTGTTTACAGTGCTGACACTGCAAGGAAATGCTTTACACACGAGAACTACATCAAGCTGTAGTGCTTCTGGTGACTATAGTGTTCCTTTAACAATTATTTGATTGCGCTGAATTACTGTCTTACATAATGGAAAGTAAGATTTCTAAACTACAGTCACAACATTTCAGTTAACAATAGTAGTTCCACTCCCTCTAGCATGTAAGCTCATTAGGCAGGGCCCTCAACCCCTCTGTTCCTGTGCATCCATTTGTCTGGTTACAGTTACGTGTCTGTTAGTCCACTCATTGTATAGCGCTATGGATTTTGCTGGCGCTATATAAAAAAAATAGCATCTGGTTACAAGTGCCTTTCCTGAGCATACATTATTTTAGCGTTCACTAGAACCACATCCCTGCTGTTTAGATGTAATTGCTTAGTGGTACTCATTTTATCAACTTCTTCTTAAAGGCTTACTTTGCTTAGAGAGGTCTTGGTCATGTCCTTCTGAGATGCTATAGCTCTAGCTACTAAGCAGTTTCACCAACTCAGAGGACCTCTCAACCCCCTTAGCACCCTACCCCAGAACATTTTGTTGGCAGTTTTGTTTAAAAAAAAAAAAAAAAAAAATTCATAAGGCTATGAAAAGCATTGCCATGCAAGTATCTTGCTTCTATATG